CTTCATAAAGTTCATTGACTCCTGCAGGTTGAAGACATCTTGGTGTGGTGAGATGCCTGCCGATTTCAGCATACAGGGTCATCAAACTTTTACCCACCTTCAAACATGAAAGAGAACATTAAAATGAGTCTTCAAATTTATGATGACAAAGAAACTGCTGTATGCTTTTAAAAAAATATTTGTTCAAGTGTTGGTAAAGGACAAAACAATGAAAAATCCCAAGAAATATTTAAGTAAATAACCTATTTCTGAAGTGACAATTTTATGACTTGAAAATATTTGTTTATTTATGATACATTTTATCAATCAATCAATCAACATAAACTCAGTTTAAACACCCAAATAAGTAATCAAGAATAAGCATTTTTGTTCTGAATACTTCTTGGTATTAAAATTTCACACAATCCATTTTCTGACATTGTAGATGTCCCATCTCCATTTGCAATTACAAAGCACCATTCTCCACTTTTGTTATAAAATCCCCTTCGCATCCGTCTCACAAACCAAATTTCACATATATGTACATAATGTCACAGTTGTAATACTGTGACTGAGATGTAATATCCAACTCAATCCCTGTTACATCTAACCACCTTTTCAGTGAGTTAGTGGTGGGTAGAAATGCTCCCCCCCCCCCCCTGAAAAAAAAATCCCTTAGATTTAGATACCACACCCATGATTTCAGATTTGAACTCTCAACGATACAATTCCATCTTCAACATACACCACTAATCCAGTACAACTTCTCCAGAGAACATATCATTTGAGAGCAATGTACGCTCATGTGCACAACTAGGCACATTAGAAAAGACGCATCTACCAGATGTTTAATGGGTAGAAGGAGAGGGAAGGGAGAGAAGAAGAAAAATCACCTCTACGAGATTGATGGGCACCTATCATTGAACCAGACTGACTAGGGTATACCTGGGGGGGGGGGGTGTTTCACAATGATCTTTAGTCAAACTTAGCTATAAGTTGGACTTTAACATTATGGAGAGCCATTTGTAGCCTTCAAATAAAATATATTCAAAAGCAAAAATCAAAGTATTTTAGACTTTTCATAAATTCCACATCAAGAACATTAAATCTCCTTGATTAAAGAAAATATGAATGATTTGAATCAACATTTTATGCCTTTTAAAATAACTTGAACAAAATGTTGTCTAAGATGCTAACGGCTTTCCATAATTGTTAAGTCCAACTTAGCATTTAAGTACAAGTCCACTCCAAAAATAAGTTACTCTCAATAGAAGCAGAAAAATCAGACAAACCAATCAAAAAAAGTTTGAGCAAGATTGGATAACTAATAAGAAAGTTATGGATTTTTGAAAAAGTATGTAAAACTGTGGAACAATGAAAATCACTACACAAATTGCCAACTTGGTTATCAGTTTGTGACGTCATGTCCTCACTATTTATCAATTGCTTTACACAGTTTAATCCCTTTAAATTCCCTTTTTGTCCCCCAAAACTTGATTCCCCCATACCTTTGCCCAGGTTATATGATTTGTATCATGTTGCGTGCATGAAATTTCACAAATCTGTTATGAACTTTGAAGAATTGATACTATTTTCTGAATATTTTATATTCATAATTATTGACTTTTATCTAAATAGTTTATCAAAATTCACATTTTTCATGATTTAACTGGAAAACTATTTAACTATATTAGTGCATCCACACAAAAGATATTACTATGATCAATCTAACTTGGATGCTGATGTGAAGAAATAAGATTCTTAGGGGGAAAATAGGAAATTTATATTATCAATATAAAGAAAATAATTAGTGGACAGTGAGTACATGACGTCACAGACTGATGAGTGGGTTCTCAATTTGTCTTGTGCTTTTCATTGTTCCATAGTTTTACATACTTTTTCAAAGAATCACAACTTTCTTATTAGTTATCCGATTTTGCTCAAACTTTTTTTGATTGGTTTGTCTGATTTTTCTGCTTCTATTGAAAGTAGGTTATTTTTGGAGTGGACTTGTCCTTTAAGTTAGACTTAGGATCTCTGTGAAACACCCCCCAGATATCAAACTCCCAACATAACTAAAAGGTCAAAGGATAATGTACAGAAAAATCAATCAAATTATGCGAAGTATGATCCCAAAAAAATTAAATGAGTTATGAAAATCAAGACAGGAGATAGTGTCATCTACAAGGAAATAAAAGAATGATGGGCTACATCATGAATATTGATTTACGAGTACATCCACTTTGTTACAAGAGAGAGATGATAGAAATAAGATAGTTTAGATGGCCTTGAAGCTTTTAAGTATTTTCGCCTTATTTCTGTCTTATCATCTGAATGTTTTGTTTTACAATATTCACTCAAAAAATGACATGCAGCAATTAGATTGAAGCTGATTTTTCAAGTACTAGATATTTTATATTTTACTGGTGGAAAATTCGAAAAATGCTAGTATAATTATCACTAATTAGTGTGCTCTGCAGGCATTTTCTGTGACAAAGTGACTATTTCCTCTTCTCTGTTTTCTGCCTTTAGTTTGTAACAGGTAAGAGTACTCCAAGTAATACCTTCCCTTCAACATCAAACTCATTTTTGAACATTTAGAGTCAACATATGCATGTCCACGTAATCCCCTCCGACAACAAAATGAATTGTCAGATCATGCACAAATTGTGAATTTATTTAATGTCAATTTTTATCTACACATCATCAAAACTGAGTATTATAAATCATTTTGCTTCATCAGAAATGCAGTCCAGTCTAGATGCTTGAATAATGGCAAGATTTGAGTTTTACAATGCAAAATATATTTTTTAATTTTAGCCCAATCTTGCACATCAAGATTCCTTCTCATTGATCGATTTCACTTTTCATCTAACTATACATGCAAACATTGATCTCAATTTTCTGTGGATTTCAACATCTAAGAAATAATGTACCGAAGCAATTAATGCTAAGCTCATAAAACTAACATTCTTTCACAATTGTGTAATATTTTCATTTGTTATCCAATTAGTACAAATTAAATGTAGAAGTCAAAACTTGAGTAATGAACGAGTGATGAAATAGAAGTGGAAATGAAAAGGCCTTATAAAGGATTGCTGAATTAAATTTCCTTTTTATTGGTAAGGAGGGTTATTAAAATCAGTCAGACTGATATATGAAGGAGTTCACTGCACATGAAAAGAAGTTCAGCTGACACCCACTAGCAATTAGGAAACACACACGTTACAATTACAAAGGTACATTCGAAGGACAGGGAAAGAATTGTGAGAATCAAAATTAACAAAAGAACGATATCTTCTATTTATATTTTTGCGGTTGAAATGATTCAAATTAGGCTGATGATGACATATCTCTACGATTTATGACATCAGTTTTCATTTAATGAGATTTCCTGCAGATCTCACAAAATTTGTCAAAGTTAGTCGCAGATACGAACACAATACGTCAATGCCGTGGTTCATCAGGCCAAACCATTCCCAAAGATCTTAGCCGACAAAGGCAAAATGCAGATCTATTTTTAATTCCCAGCTTCAACAGAGCAGGGATTAGGCAGAAAAATTATAATCTCTCACATTACTCATTCACAAACTATGATTGGGAATATGTCCCGCTTCAGTTTGGAAAGCAGATTTCTCAACTGTACTTCAGAACGTTATTAAAGTGTACATGTATGAAATTGCTCAAACAATCTGCTTTAATGGACCGGTGAGCGGGATCTCATGGGTATAGATATTTCCATTCTTCACACAACTCCTCTTATTCATAGATCTGCAAACACAATTAATTAAAGATTGATTTATGTTGTAGTCAAAGAGTCATCAATAATGTAACCTTTTTCTTCTTCTTCATCTTAATTCCTATATCTTCCATTCCACTCACCCCCGTCACACTCATATTCGCCCCAAGGCAAACTGAGTAAACCCCGATCCCAAACCCTCCACAACAAAAAGACACAGAAGGCCCGTCTTCACTATCTCGAGATTGCCAAATATCCAGCTATTTGAACTATCCCGATCGAAACTATCCAGCTAATTTGCATCCTCATTAGACCGAAGTAGCAAATTAGCTGGATAGTTGGTCGGGATAGTATCCCAAGATATCTCGGTCTAGTTTGCAAAATATCCCACTGTTTCCCAACTAGCGGGATAGTTTGAGACCGTCTTCATTAGACCGAAGTATGGAGTCAAATATCCCGATCCCACCATGCACAACGATTTCCGGCGCACATGCGATCTATACCGCTCAGCGTGCTAGTACAACTAGTAAACACGGAAAACCGGAAATCGTTGTGCATGATGGGATCGGGATATTTGACTCCGTACTTCGGTCTAATGAAGACGGTCGCAAACTATCCCGCTAGTTCGGAAATAGTGGGATATTTTGCAAACTAGACCGAGATATCTTGGGATATTATCCTGACCAACTATCCAGCTAATTTGCTACTTAGCTGGATAGTTTCGATCGGGATAGTTCAAATAGCTGGATATTTGGCAATCTCAAGATAGTGAAGACAGGCCTAGAGAGCCACGACAGTCAGTCTCTCCCCAAGAGAGCAATATTTCCGATTAACATTTCGGATTCCTTGAGTTTGTTTCAGAATTATTCAAACAAATTGAATATTTTCTCAGAGACTGGCTAATTGGCGTGGAGTCTTGGCGAGCAATGGCTTCGGATATTCTCCCGTGCGGCATTTACTCGATGATGGCAAAACAAGTGAAAATCATTTCCCCTTGTTATCAACTGATATGTACTTGATTAAGTGGTCTTGTGATGTGAAGTTGAGGCCTCCATGCTTGAAACAAGAAAGGAAGATATAAAATTCTACCACAGAAGACTGGCACCACTAAATTATTTTCCAATCCATTTCATCATTTTCATGTAGCCACCAGACAAGTTTTGCTTTTAGAATGTGCCATCATTAAGTCAAAGAAAGGCCAAAAGTACATTTTCTCAATATCTAAATCAAAATTGCATCATCGTTACCTTGAAAGAATTACATCATCAAGCCAATTTTCTTTGATGTTCACCTACTTATTTAATTTGGAATAATGAAATGATGTAAATTCATTTGAAGATACATTTAAGTGTCCTACTCAAAATTACTGCAAATTAGGCAATTACAAAAATGGGGATGAAATTTATGGTTTTTGACAGGTTCCTTTTAATATGTTTAAGGTCATAAACAAAAGCATATAATGGCAAAAGTTTATTCTTACATTTGAGTGGCTCTAGAGCAGAATAGCTAATATGATGCCAAAGTCCAAATTTTGTTGATAACAAATGAACTTGATTTCATTAAAGCAACTTTATTTCTCCACAAAAAACAAAACAATGGGTGTTGGAACAAAATGGTTTACTTCTAATCTTCCCGAGCAAAATCAGTAGATATCTAATAAGTAAAATATAGGTATTCACCATTTAACACCACTTTTTAGAATAAAAACCATATATAAGTGATACAAAGTCAACTGAACTTAATAATTTACTCTTCACTTGGTAAATAGATTATTGAATGACCTTTATCACCTTATTTCTCTACATGTATATTCACTATTCAGTGATTTTAACCTCGACTGAGTTGGTTCTTTCAACTTTCGTGCAATTATCCTTCAATTACACGTATATGCATTTACTTTATCTGTGCAATATTATCTCTGTTGTAATGTCACATTTTGCATGTTTTTTAATACATGTATTATGTTTAATGTATGTATAGGTCTATATGATTTTCTAGGGTTGAATCACACTACGGATACAAAATTTCCCCTCATAATCATATTGTGCCACTTTTTTCTGCTGGTGTGGTCATGAGTCTCCGGCGTGTGATGCAGCCCTGGAGAAATTTGAAGTTTTTGTCTTGGTGCATTTTAATTGTGGTACATACATGTTTCTCTTATATTGTCTTTGTCACATAAATCTGCAATGCTGGTTGCATCTGGTTGGATATAGGTGAGGGCGGTCTGCGGACTATAGTTATTTGGTTAACTTTGCCCAATGCCTGGCAGCACAGCTGGGTGCACCCAGTGTTCCTTTTTTGTGTGTGATTTGCTATTAATTGTTTATTTTCAACTCTGTACTTTGATATCATGTGTTTTCTGCCAAATAAAATAATAATAATATATTTGCTTATTTATGATTCATTGTCAGAAAAATACTTACTGTACTGTATATTATTGCTATCAAAAAACTGTGCACTTACATGAAGGCAGAAGAAAATGAAAGAAAATCAAAATCAAATCAAAGTTATAGCAGTACTTAAATAATGGAAGGGCTATAACATAGGAGGGCCCAATATATACACGAAAATGGGCCCATGCATAGCCCCATTCCATATCAGGAATGCCCGTAACATAGGGTCACCTAAGATACAGGAGGGCCCATGGCTATGGAGGCCTCACAATATGGGAGGGCTTAAAAATATAAGAGACCCCAATACCCAAGAGGGTCCACGATATATAAGGGCCAGATATATGGCCCACTGAGGGCCCAAGTTGTAGGAGAAGAATATGAAAATTGGTATTCATTAGTGCTACCGATAAAAATTAAAATAAGCAACACTATAAATATGTTATTTCTTGAACCAAAACAGGTATTCCAAAGATAAAATATCATGAGATTACATGAATGTTCTATCCTCCCTAAAACTAATATTAAACCTTAAATATTAAAGAACAGATAATCCTGTCTGAATATTGACAATCATACATATGCCCCCACCCCAAAGAGGGAAAATAAACAATTAAACAAAAAGAAAACTAATATAGGCTTGCAGTTAAAAGGTATAGTTATAAGAAAATTACTCAAGCAATAGTACTGTTTTACCACTATGCCTTCTGCCAAATTAGAATATCAAGGAATACTATTATTTTACCACTATGAATTTTACCCAGATTCTAAAAAATCAAGGAACATTAGTTTTTTACCAATATGACTCTGATCAACAAGCATGCCATATGGACAATACTGAATATACTACTTTACCTGTACATCATTAAAGTGACTCAGTAACATTGTTGAAGGCTGATGAAAAAACTTTGTAATTTTTGTATGAAATGTTACATATTATATTCCTTCTGTACTAAGCCTCTTACATGCAAAAAATCCTGTAAACATTTTCAAACCACAAGGATATTTATGGTTTTCTTTGAAGGCGTCACTGTGCGACACCCTCTAACAGTAAATTCTCCCAACCAATTTTTGAATTTTCCTAATTATTTTTCGCTTTAAAAAATATTGTTACACTTAAATCTTTGGAATGGTATATAAAGCCAATTCTTTGCTTTGTGATGATTTACATTCACTTAAAATTTAATTAAAGTATAATAATACAGTTGGGAGAATTAAGGAAGCAATAAGATCTGTTTTTCCCAATTTTTATCATTAATAATGGTCCGTTTTTACTCAAACTTTCAGATTATCTTGAATTATACATCTAGCATTGACGTCACTACCTTAGCACCATTTTCTCTCATCTGAACAATTTTACCAAGTTCCTTTAAAGCAAACACATTAATTATAATGGCAAATAAAACATAATCAATCACCAGCCAGACATTGCCACCGTTAATTTGTATCGGAAGTGCCTAATCTCACCAGTGTATCTCCCACCTGCCCCCCCCCCCCCTTTTTGTTTAACCTTTTGTCTCATCAGTTATTATCTTTAAGGTTTTGAAGGTATTAATTTGACATCAGAATGACAATTGCATATCCTTTAAGTATATGAAAAGTTAAAAAAATGGTGTCATACAATAAAAACAACAAGATTCAATATTTGCATTTATATTTAGACAATGGCATATGATTTTGTCATATTTCTGTCACAAAGATGTTTACATATCTTGACATGTAGGTCAGAAATATTATCTTTATCTTTGCAAATATCTCTAGTAAAGCTGACAAACCATTGCCTATTATATTTCTGATCGAGAATTTTATACCATAGAAAATAATGGTTATAAAAGAAATATTTAACAAATGTAAAAAGAAGCAAATAATAAAAACGAATGCTTTATCTTAAACAACATTCATGTCATTTAAACAAATTGCTCATCAGAGAGGATTATGGCTAACACCTAACAACACACCCAACCGCAGTTCACTGCAAATCCAGGCAGGATGTTTTACTCGTATATGAACAGCGCCACTTGAAAAAAACGGATGAGAGATGAGAGAATACAAGAAAGAATTCCAATTAGAGAGGTGGCAGTGATAGCAAGGATTGAAAAGTAGTTCACCTTTTGAGTCCTGGGAGCTGGCGGTTAGCGGCCCGATGGTGCCAGGGAGTCTAGACAACATAACTCAACGCACTTCACAGCTGGCTGGCGGGAGAGAGAAGATGGACTGCAAAGACTGATATCATAGCGATGGGCTGCTGGGGAATTCAACGATGCTGCGTCGTCGTGTCGTTGACGGTTGGGGTGGGATGGGAGGAGAGGAGAGGAGACGGGGAGAGATGAGATGAGATGGAAGCAGGACGTGTGTATTCCATGATTCTATTGTCTTCTCTACTCCCCCGATAGGTTACCCATCTCATGTGACTGCAATACCAGAATAGAGAGGAGGAAAAAAAAGAGGGATTAAGAAAATATCATGTTCAAGCACGATATCATTACTTGTCAAAGCACAAAAGGCTAGAGACATTTCTATACCAGTATTTTTTGAAAAATTGAAATTAATTTTTTAAATAAATCATAACAATTATGAGATATCATAATATGTTGAGTTATAGATTGGACGAGTAAAGAGAATGAAAAACACTAAATGTGTTGATTCTAATTTTGCACAAAACTTCAAGCTGATCAACCAATATTTGCATTTATTGGAATGACCTACGTTCACCTCTCTGGAGATATTTCTCCTTTTCTTTGGGTAGTAGACAGTTGTCTATATTCCATACCTGGATGAATAGATATGAATAAATATAAATTTGATCGACCTAACAACTGTACTGGAGTAAGTATGATGATATTCAAATGCAGTAAAAGATGCCAATGTTTCTCTGTGAAAGTCGTCCTATGCTCTTAACAAAAATCCTTTCAAATGTCATGAACTTCTGAAAATGTCACAGATGCGAACATGTTGGTCATTGAACCAAGACAACCGGTTTGGCTTTCCTGATGAGGACTGTACCCCGAGAGGAGCCATATTCGACATAAAAGCTCAATTTAATAATTTGTTGGAATTGCAATTGCAGTCCTTTCCCATTCCGACTCCATTTGCTCTCAATGCTGAAGTTTGTCAGCTCAGTAGTTATGCCTCCCCCTCTCTCTCTCTCTTTCTCTCTCTCTCTCTCTCTCTCTCTCTCTCTCTCCTTTATCTCCTTTCTCCCTCCTCTTTATTTCTAGCTTTTCTCTTCTTTTTTTCTGACACTTTTTAGTCATCATTTCCCTGGTCTCCTCTCATTGTCTCTCCTCTTGCTTTCTCCCTCTCTTCTTACTTCTATCACACTCTCTCTCTCTCTCTCTCTTTTCAATCTCTCTTCTATCTTCTCTCTATCTCTTCTTTATTTATTGCTTTTCTCTTTTTTTTCTGACACTTTTTGGTCATCATTTCCCTGGTCTCCTCTCATTGTCTCTCCTCTTGCTTTCTCCCTCTCTTCTTACTTCTATCTCTTTCTCTCTCCCTCTTCCCCTCTCTCTCTCTCTCTCTCTCTATCTCTCTCTCTCTTTCTTTCTCTCACACACCCACATTTTATTTGCTTAATAAAGATGGAATTTTCTTTGTTTATCAAAATGACTAATTACTGATGCCTCTTGAAATTACAAACCAATTATATAGTACATTAAAGATACAAACTGGTCATAATCATTTCAAGATTTCCTTCATCGAGTAGTTCAATAGCTTCCAAGTGATAGATAAAAAGAGATCTTGTCAAGTTCTCATTACCAATGCTGCTATAGAAAATGGTTTTGTTTATATCTAATTTGTGATTTACTGCTTCCTGAATATTTAATGAATATAACTTATCCAATGAAAGTGAAACTGACTTTGATTGTCATTAGCCACTCAATTGATTTTTTGTCTACACCAGCAATAAGTGTACAATGTAGGATTTGATAGCTGATAATACAAGATAATGTATCCATCATTATGATGTTAGAAACATGTTTGATTAATGAATAGAAGGAAAGTACCATCAGTTTGCTCAAATACTGGTAATGTGAAGATTTTATGTACAATTCAATTCAATTCAAGGTTTATTAAAAACATGAGTCGCAGCCCAATGGCTGAATTGGTCATGTGTACAATTAAAAGACTCATTACATATTTAAAACATATAATGCAGTTACAATTGATTAGTCAATATTGAAATATGTATAGTTAATATGGTAAGATTGATTGGGCAGCAAAAATAAGATAACAGAAGATAACATGAAGTCAGAAAAACGGAGAGGAGAAATGACATCTGTCAAAAAAGACTCTTTTTGAATATTTTGAAATAAGACTCAATTCTGGTTCGATTCTGCTATGAGGGGAGACTAGAATAGTCTTTTGTAGAAACGCCAGGTCATTATCTTCTGTTCTTTTTTATGTTCATCATAAACATTTAATTGTCTTTTCTATAATTTCCAATCTATTCATACCATTGGTATTTTGAATTACATTATAATGCTAGTATGCTAGTATTTTACAGTATTGTTGTATGTACTGTTAAAGTATATAACATCAAGCTGTGCTTTGAGGCCATACAATGTATCTCCTATCTCTGATGCATTTCTTTTCTACATTTCTTTGTGCAATGAATTCATCAAGGAAATAAAGGTAACTTCTCTCTACCTAATACCCATACAATTGAATGCCATGTATCTGCATGATCCGGTGATATAAAAGGAGGGTATAATGCTCTTATTTTCATCATGATATTTCATTGTTTACGACTGTGGTAAGTGGAAAGATGGAGAATGGGGAAGTCCCAGATGCTGAGAAGCAAGAGCTTCTTTCATTCTCGGATATTGTACCGTTGGTAACAGAAGATTATGTAGTATTCAAAGAATGATATGTGATACAAAGCCGGAAAGAGAGAAAGGGAAGGGAGAGAAAAAAATTCTGAGAATTACAATACATATATTCAATGTAAGGAAGTAAAGGCGTGCATGGTCATACATATTTATGAGCATTCCCCTTGGTAGTCCGTTGTCAATTATTTCTTAGGAGTAATCTAATACTATATTAAGATCAAATTTTAAAATGTAAAAATCTAACTGATCATGGAAAAGTACAATCAGTTTTAAGGAAACACAACAAAAAGGTAGGGCCTATATCTTTGCTTTTTAGATACAATTGAGGCCTCTTTATCTTGAATGTAGCCTCAATGTCATTTCTAATAGTAAAAAACCCTTTAAAAGACTCAGCTAAGTAGATAAGAGTTTCATAAGTCTTAATATCATACAAACTTTATTGTGCACTGAAATTAAGTGAAACTGCTACAACATCCAGTAAAAAAGTTAAAATTTACCCCGACAGTACTCCCTCAACCCTTGCCCCTTCCCTCCCATTGTATCCTTCCTCTCCTCTATAGGCCATAATGTATGATTAAAACACACATGGAATTACCCCCTTCCCTCCTATCCTTTTCCCTCACATCCTCTTGTCTTCTTATTTCTTTCTCCTCCACTCTCAAACTGTTACTTTCCCTTTTCTCTTTATCATTCTGGTATTAAATAAGATGCACATGGCTGGTAATAATGTACCCATTAGCCTCTCCGTCACCTGGGTCTCGGTGGTAGAGATTGGAGAAACGTTTATCTCCTCGATTGCTCCACACTTGGGCGTCAAGATGAGGTAACCAACAGGAATGATGAGTAGGGGGGGTGATGAAGATGGTGAGATTAGTTGAAGAGGCCTGCCCCCCCCCCCCCCCCCCCCCCCCCCCCCACTCAGTGTTATTTAGGGTACACGTATGCATGTTCCCTCCCTTTGAAAGCACCCGCCTAAGTCCGGTGTGTAAAGTCAATACAGGCTGATTTCTTGTGAAATACGAGTCGGAGTTTGTTGTACGAAAAGTTCCCCTTTACCAGAGATTTCGGGAACATGAATGCAGTCCCTCCGTTCCTAGAGTGGGGGGGGGGAGGGGGGGGTGTAGAGGAAAGAAGACATAAGCACTGGTCAAATGCTCGGCACCCATATGAGCCAGTCAACCAGTTAGATCCGGACTAAAGAGTGGACATTTACATAAATTATGGCTGGATCGGCAATAATTTGTTCTCCATATCAAGCTGGACCTAATGTATAGGCCTATGTAGCTTACATGATCATGACATTTGTCCAAGGTTATCATCTACAATTTTAAAATAAGGTAGTTAAAGTTAGATTTTCAACAAGTTTCAAACTTTACAATAATCATGTCAGCTTCATGCATTGAAATATTGTTGTTGTTTTTTTAGTCACACTAGGCTGCTGTTAATAAATAAAATACAGGGCAAAGTACAGGGCCTCAACTGAAGTAAATAAATGGGGATTTCCTCTTAGTTTTAAACTTTTAGAGGACTTATAGAGGCCTTGTGACCTTAAAATGACAATAATTTGTATAATTCAATCTATAATTTCTCTATGCTAAAAAAAAGGAGCTGAGATAGACTAGCTTTTATTGATGAGATATACACAAGTTTGTATGAATCCACCTTCTATCATTTGACCCTACCCTGATCTTGATAAATGTGCAGGCATTATTACAAAAGATTCTAGAGAACATCTTTCCAAGAGGACTTTGACAGATCACAAGTTCATATGTTCCTTCCCACATCTAGGTACTTACATACTGTAACATGATGCATATCTGTCGCACGATCCCTGAACTCAAACAATCACCCCCTCAACTTTTCTCTCCATCATGGATGGTTAGAGTCAAGTGTGAAAGAGCTGCTCCATGTGCAAGCATCGATTTGGCCGTCCCAATGTTTCTGGTGTGTGAACATGCCCTTTGAAACAGAAAATTTGGATTACAATACATTACTAGAGAGCCTCTGTCACCTGGGTCCCTGAGACTGAGATTGGAGAAACGTTTGACTGGATGACTGCCCGACATTCAGGCGCCACACCAACCACATACTTAGGGTAGCTTCCAGGCAGTGCCTCATTTTATTTGACCCCAATGCGTTCCTGCTCACATTATTACCAGTCGGAGCTTGCCCTTCCCAAATTGATTAAAACAGGCATAGGTTATGACTGCATGTAATATTGTTACTATTTTGAGATAAATTGATTAGTTAATTAAAATCAGGCTTTTTGATTGTTTTGCAGACAGCAAGTACAATTTATGATGTACGAAACCATCTCGTAGCCTGTCTTAAAGGCCGACTACAGATTGAGCCTCAAAACTATGGAAGCACTGCACTGAGAAATGAGTCCATGTGATTTCAGTGGTATCAATTTCATTCTTAGAAATATACTTTTTAGATTCCCCTGGTATTCTTAGCCCCTAAAAAAGCTTACATGAATGTGTTTTTTATGATACTGGGACTGGAATCTGGAGATCACATGATAATAATTACACATCAAACTTAATTTTTGGATAGATTTAAAACAATAGCAAAGAAAT